TCTGCTTCATTGACTATGCAAAAGCCTTTGACTGTGTGGACCACAACAAACTATGGCAAGTTCTTAAAGAAATGGGAGTGCCTGACCACCTTATCTATCTCCTGAGAAGTCTATATGTGGGACAGGAAGCAACAGTTAGAACTGGATATGGAACAACTCATTGTTTCAAAATTGTGAAAGGAGTACAACAACGCTGTATATTGTCCCCTGGCTTATTTAACGTATATGCAGAATACATCATGCAAAAGACCGGACTGGAGGACACTCAAACCGGAATTAAGATTGCCGGAAGAAATATCAACAACCTCCAATATGCAGATGATACCACTCTGATGGCAGAAAGTGAGGAGGAATTAAAGAGCCTCTTAATGAGGGTGAAAGAGGAGAGTGCAAAAAATGGTCTGAAGCTCAACATCAAAAAAACTAAGATCATGGCCACTGGTCCATCACCTCCTGGCAAATAGAAGGGGAAGATATGGAGGTAGTGACAGATTTTACCTTCTTGGGCTCCATGATCACTGCAGATGGAGACACCAGCCACAAAATTAAAAGATGCCTGCTTCTTGGGAGGAAAGCGATGACAAACCTTGACAGCATCTTAAAAAGCAGAGACATCACCTTGCCAACAAAAGTAAGAATAGTCAAAGCTATAGTTTTTCCAGTAGTGATGCATGGAAGTGAGAGCTGGACCATAAAGAAGGCTGACCGCCGAAGAATTGATGCTTTTGAACTGTGATGGTGGAGGAGACTCTTGAGAGTCCCCTGGACTGCAAAGAGACAGGAGGGCCTGGTGTGCTCTGGTCCATGGGGTCACGAAGAGTCGGACATGACTTAACAACTAAACAACAACTTTTTCTAATAGAAGGGGATGGAAAAGGGTCCTCAGGATGAAAAAAGGGTGACCCCTTGCAACTCCATAGATCTATGATGACAGTGCTAAGAATGTAAAAATAACAACCCTGCATCTCAGATCAGCATCTCTTTAAAATATATGCATACATATAGAATTTAGTCAATAATAGTAAAAAATTCAAAAAGTATACCACTTAACTAGAGCATCATAAGAACATATACAAAATGATGGGATGAACAGAGCTCTCCTAGTGTATCAAAAAGCACTGCAATGTACAAAGCTGCACATCCTAAACCTGCTGCAAAATTGCAGTGTTAAACCTGCTAGCATTTTGCAGCATTCATGTTCAGTAACTCAAGAACTTTGCCTTAGGGTGAAAAAGTGAGGGCTTCTTACATGTTTTGAAAATTCAGTAGCTCAAGTGTTTTATGTGTATGAGAAAGTCCTGAGATGTGGCTGGCTGAAAGTCATCACTGGAAGATGAGTAAAGAAAGCGAAAGTAATTCCTGAGGATATTATGAAATAGCCTGGGTCCCCTCTAAGTTCTCGGGCATGCCTGTTAGGGTAACTTTGCCAGAAACTTTGCTATGTAACTTTGCCAGAAATCACTGGCGTCTGAGCGGGTCTCCCAAGAGAGTTGCTCAGCTATGTAACTTTGCCAGAAATCACTGGCGTATGAACGAGTCTCCCAAGAGAGTTGATCAGATGGCGCTGAAAAGGCCATCACTAACGTCACCTCAATTTGAACTCCCGGCAGAGAAAGGCTGGGGGGGGGGGGGGGGGAGAGACTCAGATGTAAATAAAAACGAAAAACAATCACAGAAGTATTGAGAGAAGTGTGCCTAACGTAACGCACCGCAGCGCTTTCCCCACGTCAGCTAATCAGATGAAAATAAAAACGAAAAACAATCACAGAAGCATTGAAAGAAGTGTGCCTAACGTAACGCAGTTCTTTCCCCACGTCAGCTGATCCTATGGATGGCCGCCCCTCAATGACGACGGCGACATATTACGCCAAACGTCCGCCTCTCTTTTCTCGAAGAACCCGAACTTTCTCAAGCCGTCGGAGTCACACACAATTGCTCCCACAAGTCATGCCACGCTTACCCTCCGAAAAAGTTGTAAACCAGCGAGTTACCGATGCCTTTTCACTTGGGTCCGGCCACTTCAGATTTCCTGAAACGATCTTTGAAAAACCCGCGGAAAATGGAAACCAACCGGAAATAAATACGTCCAGCTCCGATTGGTGCATCCTGTATGACGGCCGGACACGCTGTGTTTGTTGACTGAAGATTAATGTTGCGGAAGAAGCTGTGATTCGGAGAAAGAAGGGATTAGGACCAGGAAAGACCATTTTATTCTGGCATAAGTGAAAACAGAAGGTTGCTAGAGGCGTTTCATCTCTTTTCTCTAATCCTGTGCATGCAAACTAGGAAGAAAATTCACTGGGCAATCCATGGGTAAATCAAACAGCAAAATTCACTAATAATTGGACCATCAAAATGGGGGAAGGGGGGAAGGAAGGAAGGAAGGAAGGAAGGAAGGAAGGATGCAAAACGGAGATTGCAAACTTGGAGACCTTCTAAATCGTGAAGATCTCAGTTTAGCAGTGCAAAGGATCGCGAATCAAGACGGAATTCCATCCTCCGCACACGCACAAACCGTGTTTAATGTGCACCTTAACGTGATGAGAGGGTTTGCATGTGTCTGGGATAAAGGTATAAAGGTTCCCCTTGACAATTTTTGTCTAGTCGTGTTCGACTCTAGGGGGTGGTGCTCATCCCCGTTTCCAAGCCATAGAGCCAGCGTTTTGTCTGAAGACATTCTTCCGTGGTCACATGGCCAGTGCGACTTAGACACAGAACGCTGTTACCTTCCCACCGAGGTGGTCCCTATTTATCTACTTGCATTTGCGTGCTTTCGCACCGCTAGGCGGGAGCTGGGACAAGCGACCGGCACTCACTCCGTCCTATGGATTGGATCTTACAGCTGCTGGTCTTCTGCCCCTGCAGCACAGGCTTCTGCGGTTTAGCCCGCAGCGCCACCACATCCCCCGCATGTGTCTGGGAAGCTGGGAGCAATATCCCAAGGAGGCTAGATGGTTACCAGGCCAAATGGTCAAAGCTGCACCCATCCTTTTCAGGAATTAATGACAGCATCAGCTGAAGCCAATTAATAGTTCCAGAAGTATTCCAGAAGGAGAGCTACTGCGCACAGTAGTGGAAGGTAACACTGGTGGAGGATCTTTCAGAGGCAATAGCAGTGCCACACAACTAATGCTTGTCAGTACTGTGTAAAAGAAAGCAATGGTAAACCACTTCTAATTATTTTATATCTTTGAAACCCTATGATGAGACAATCTACATGAAATAAAAGATAGTGTTGGAAGATGAGTCTCCCAGATCAGAAGGCACCCAATAAGCATGTGGAGCAAAGGACAGGTATGAATAGGGTGGCTATTAAAGGAGGAACTCAAGTTGAAGTGGAAAGGACATCCCCTTTCTGATGTAGACAGAAAGAAACAGGAAGTCTGATGCTGCATGAATCATAATTAGATCAAGAGATGTGAGCACAAAGCTTGAAACTAAAACAATAAATGGACTGTTGAAACTTTGCAAGACTTGGTGTGAGTGAACTAAAGTGGAATAAGACTTTAAACTAGATAATTAAAATATTTTACTCTGGAAACAAACTCAGAAGAAATGGGGTGGCGCTAATTCTGAGGCAAAACATTACACAAGCAGTTAAAGGCTCTAATGCAAATTGTGACTGAATAATATCAATCAGAACATTATTATTCACACACAAAAACCAGTATCAGCATAACCATAATTGAGGTCTATGTTCCAGCTATAGTTGCTGAAGAAGAAGACATTGAAAGCTTTGATGAAGGTGTCCAGGAGGAAACTGATCACACATCCAAGAGGATATGCTGAAAATTATAAATGAATGGAATGGAAATATAGAAAATAAAGTAAAACCAGTCATAATTGGAGAATTTGGTCTAGGAGTCAGAAATGAAACAAGAGAGCCACTCAGAAAATTCTGTGGAGCCAGCAATTAGTTTATTGTAAATATATGCTTTAGCAAACCTAAATGTTAATTAAACACAAGGACATCACCAGGTGGCCATATGGAAATAAAAAAAGAGTATAGGAGTAGTAGAATATGTAGAAATTCTGTTCTGTGAGGGCTTGGTCTCCACCTCCATTACAAACTTCTCTACTTGAGTTCCAAACCAGCAACATTTATTTCCATTAAGTCCAAGAAATTGTTAACATCAACAGGTATGAACTGGTTCTCTTCCTCACACAATGATGTGAGGAAGGAGTTGTTTTCTTGTTCCATAAACAGGTTGCTAACATTGAACTCTAACTGTTCATCACCATCAAGCCTGATGGTAATGGCAACAGGGGCACCCCGTCTTCTCTGCATATTTCTGCACATCTCGTCTCCTGGGTCAGAATATTCCCACAACAGTGGGTCTTGGTCCTCTCAATCCCAGGGGTTCTCAACCATCCGTCTCTCTCTTGTTTTTCCCTCAGTATTTTTGCTCTTTTCTCTCTTATCCTTCTACCCCACTCTCTTGCCTCTCTCTCACCCCAACAGGATCACTTGAAAGGTATCCCCTCTCAGCTCCTCTGTTCAGCCTCCTCTTTGGGTACCATCAAACGCTCCCACTTGTTCGTCCACAGATTCTCTAACCAAATCCACTCCCACCCAGGGGGAAGGGATTTTGGTGCTTTATGTGAATCCGCTTCACCAGCTTCTACCAGTTCTTTCACTCCGCTTGCCTTATATATATCTCCTCTCTCCTCCTCCATTCCTGCCTTTTTAAACTGCCCTGCTGTTTCCTCTAATATCATTCCTGCCACCTCTAGCGGTTCTGTTTTCTCTGGTTCAGCTGTTCCCACCTTTTCTAATGGACCCATCCCTTCATCCACCTTAACTCTTGCCTCCTTTTCTGTTCTCAGCTCTTCCCTTTCCACAACAAATGTGGTCACCCTCCATTCCATCTTAGTCCTTCCCAGTTTGGGCTCTCCACTTAATCCTGGTAAAAGGGACGGACGGCACATGGGCAAGGACATTGGCTGTTCCGCCTCCTTCCTCACATGGTCTCTTTGCAAAAACAAGACCAAGAGCAGATTATGGTACAGTGGCAGAGAAGAAATAGTTAAGGATTGGTCAAAATCATCTTAATAGTTACACCAGCATAACACAAATGACACAACTCTTGGAAGTGAGTTGTTGCAGCTGAAGAAATTACTGTACTATAAATGTGTTGTGTGCCCAGTCATGCAATTCAATAGGCCAGTGGTTCTTAGCCTTGCGTTACTCAGGTGTTTTTGGACTGCAACTCCCAGAAGCCTTCACCACCAGCTGTGCTGGCTGGGGTTTCTGGTAGCTGCAGTTCAAAAACACCTGAGTAACCCAAGGTTAAGAATCACTGCAATAGGCAACAGGTTTCTCCAAAGTTATGCTGTTTGCATAACTACATGAGAGGATTTTGGCCAATGCCTATAATAATGTCTATACTTTGGTTCAATCATTAGTCCAAGTGGAGTCATGAAATCGGAAGAATGAGGCTTGGAAGAAAAGCTAAGAAGGAACTAGAAAAGATCCTAAAGTGCAAGAATATGTCACTGGAGACCAAGGCCAAGAATGAAATATTTAGCCACAGGTTTATATAGGGAATACATTATATGTGGTGAAATATACTAACACAGCTACCCTTTGAAAACTGCTAAAAAATAAAAGGCCATTCTGAATGATTATTTCCAAAAATTTCTGTATTTTGGGGCAGGGGAGGCTGTCTTTTCCTCATCACCACCATCACATTGCCCTAGAACAGTGGTTCCCATACTTGGGTAACCCAGGTGTTCTGCAACTCCAAGAAACACAGGTCAGCATAGCTGGTGGTGAAGGTTTCTGTGAGTTGCAGTCCAGGGTCGCCCAAGCTTGGGAACCACTGCCCGAGAATGACATGAGGTAGAGGGAAATGTGGGGAAGACAAAAAAGGTGACCACACAGTGGTTGCTACTGCCCTTTGTATTAGCAGTCTAAAAAGAAAAAAAAGTATTGAGGGAAAAGAGCAAAGCTTTACTACAACCATTATTAATGAGGTCCACCTATAAGAAATCATTGGAGGATTTCTTTGTCCTCTGGAGAAATTTCATGAAGTTGTTCCCCAATTAGACAGTCCACAAGAAAGTTGGAGAATTTCAGAAAGCTATTTGTGCACAGCTGTGCCATTCATTTCTCACCTGCATATTTATTATTCAACAAATAGATTTCTATAGAGGAAGTTGTGTTTGTTTCAATAAAGGGAACAGAGATTTATGTGTCACATTTACAGGGCCAGCCTGAAGAGATTTTATTGGTGGAGGCAGAGCAGCAAGGGTGTCCTCAGTTCCCTTGAGTCTAGAAGCACAGAAGCTAAAGCCAGGTTAATTATTCTGATATATGATGCCGAAAAAAAATCACCACTACCTCTGTCTCCCAGTAGCTATAAAAAACGAGAGAAGAAAATAAAGACTATGGGTTTGCTGCTTTTTCCTGACACCAAATCTGCTGCTTGAGGTTGTCACCACATGCAATGATAAGGTTGACTTACACTTTTAAAAGACTGAACAAATTTATTATGACACAAGGTTTATGCCAGAATTCAAGATTTGTGCTTTCGGTAAAGCAGTTATTTGAAAAGAAAGGGCCCCTTGTTGCTTATAAGATGAGAAATACTGTACATCAAAACTAACATGATTAACATGAAAAATACATGCTTCTTGCTTATCACTATTTCTGCCAGTAGATGATGCTATAATGAAGTATAAATACTCACCTAGTGAGAAAACCCATGCTTTCAGTGAAATGATCAATCATCATAATCATCATTGCTTTTATTATTATTATTATTGTTGTTGTTGTTGTTGTTGTTGTTGTTGTTGTTGTTGTTGTTGTTGGGTGGGAACAAGGATAAAAAGAGCTGCTGGTCTTTTAGACCCATGGCCTCTGCACTATCTGTGCAAGCCAAAGAAGTAACAGCCACAATTAAAAACACCCCAAAAGGGGTTTTAAACTCTTGTTTCAGCTTTTCAGTTTACTAGAAGCCTATAATTTGATTATACATATGATTTTGCATACGATAACTGGTTCCTTTTTACCACATACTATACAATTAAATTGCCTTATTTTCATGCATATAATGTGCCTGTTATATGGTTCTCCCACCCCC